ACAGATTGGTCAATTCAATTCGACCATTGGAGTTCCACAGTACTCTTGAGGCTATTTTAGAAATCATAATATCTATTCTTTACTGTATTTATATTAAAACACACCTCTCTAATAAGTCCCTTAGATAGCGTTATCAACTGATTTTCTGTTTTTTATTATCTTATTATTATTATGGATTTTTGTTTCTTTTCCTTCTCTTTTCTCTTTTTCCTCTTTTTATTTTATTTTTGAGGTAGGGTATCCCTGTAGGCCTCAGCTGACCTGGAACTTATTGTGTAGACCAGGATGGTATTGAACTCCCAGAGATCCTCCTGCCTCCACCTCCCAAGTGCTGGGAATAAAGTTTTGAGCCACCTCAGCTGGCCTTCAACTGATTTTTTTTATATGTTTACAAAATACTCCAAGATTTAGTATCTGCCAATAAGCACAATTTAGCCTATGTCAATACATACAGTTTATAGTTTAATCTGGAGGGGAGTTGATACATGACTAAATTTTCCATGCATAGTGTGATTCCACCTAGTCTTGTTTGAAACTAGGACACATTCTGGCTATTCACTTGTAAAGTCTAGTTGGACCTTTCAGGGAACACCTCTCAGTGCCAGACCTTATCCTTTCATTACATATAAGGGAAAAGGTTTTCATTATATCTGGAGTTTGGGGGACTAAAGCTAAAAATAACAGATCTTGGGCTTCAGGTTTCCCAAAGGTGGAAAAAATGGGTTCCCAATGAATCCATTTAGAAAATGGGCTAATTATTAAGAAAGAGAACAAAGTCTCAATATTGAAAGAAAATCAATCACTTCACCTATGATGGTCAGTAGATGAGCTCACCTTGCTGTTGACAGTCCAGCAATGTCTATGTGCAGCATAGAGAGGACAATGTAGAGGCTGCACAGTCCACACAACTGGACGTCTTAGGACCATTCTGGCAGAGATCTGAAAAATTCCTAGAGTTGTAGCTATTTAGTCCATGTTGGAAGGATAATGCAGCTGCTGTCCATTACTGGAGGATTGTAGCAGCCACTGGAGTAGACACACTCATCAGAGAGAAAACACACGAAGGCAGGAATCACTGCTTTTTCTGCAGACATCTTTATTGAGGTGCCAAACACATTTTGCCTGTTCTATATGTTTTGGCAGGTCACATATGTAAGCCAATTTCTCCCTCAAGTACTGGCAAACATATCATATACAATCTATGTGAACCAGTGACAGGTGCAAATATACCCTCCTAAGTGTGGACACTGGCACGGGCCTCTTACACCATTTCCAGGGAAGTAACAGGCAAAATCACCAACGCTTTCCCCCAACTCAGTGTCGTAATTGACCATGACAAGGCTCCTCATTTCACAAACACTGATCCACAGACCTCAACTAAAGGTAATAGGCTGCAATCAATCTACCCCAGAAACCTATTGGGAGTGTTTTAACAGGTTATTCATATCGGAATGTGTTGTCAGAAACATTAAACACCAGCACTTGGATGGCAGTGGTAGGTGAATACCTCCCCCAAAACCATGAAGGCTATTGCCACTACTGTTGGTTACATGCTGAAACTAGATGGTAGGTCACTATAGCTGAAGACATCACATGCTCAGGTTGCAGGCTACGGAGAAATGATGCTGGAATAAGGTGGATGCTACCTCCATTCTAGCTGGCTTGCATGGTACCAGGTGATGCAGACTACTGAGGGACAATTGTCACCAAGACTCCTGCTCAGTCATAAACCCTGTGTGACCAATGCCAACAGGACAGTCAGAATATGCCTCCTGGTGGTACAGTGGCACAACTACTGTTTGGGTCCAACAAACAGCTTTCAGGTTGGATTTACAGCCCACTCCACAATAGGAAATTTGTGCCTGATTTTATAAGACAGGAACAAAACTCATGTCCAGAGAGGTCATAGACTCCAGTTGGGAAGCAATTGCTATTGTTCTGTTAGATGGATGTGATGTGCTTCTCAAATTCCCTTATGAATATTTCATTTTATGTCTAAGAGGTCAATACTACTGTCAGTGGCAATCCATCATGGAAGGAATCGTCCTTTCACAATGGACGGTATACCACAAAGACTCAGAATCAATGAA